ATGGGGTGAAAAGAAGAAGGACAAGGGGAAAAATAAAACGGGAAATCAACTATGCTATAGCATGATGGGGACTTCCGTTTTCTTCTTCCCCGCATCCTTCCGGATTTCAGCATTAGCGTAATGCCTTATTCAGTCCAATTTCAATTCAAGCCAATTCAAAATCAATTCACGAGATTTGTACACCTAATGCAGGAGATATTCAGCTCTCGGAGCCGGCGCTTCTAGCAAAACATGATCGCAGACCTTGCGATCATTCCCTTTGCTCAGCTCAGAGCTCGTGTGCGCGGTGGCGCAGAGGCGGAGGCGACTTCTTCTTCAACTTCAACTTCAAAAAGGGTTATGACGACTGCTTGTTCATAGCGAACTGGAGCCACCCGTAACTCGGGTCACGCAGTCAGGCCTCAGTCGGCCCATCCCCTGCGTTCCAGCTAGGCGTGTCATAAGTCTCGTCACTGTGCCCAGCAACTGCTCAGCCCAGCTCCGCTCTCCTCCACCCTTCTGACCAAATGAACTACCCCGGTCGAGGTCGAACTTCCTCCCTCCAAACGTCACGATCGGCTCCGACTCGGTTGAGCGACAGACGGCGGAAGCTAGGAGGAAAATCGGTGAACAGCACGAATCAATTATTGGCCGACCTCTGGAGTGCTGGACTGTCCTCCTGCTGACGGGCTGCTGACCCGCTGAACTGACAGGGGCGTAAGGGCCCAGGCAGCAGAGCTGCATAAAATGTGCATTTTGTGTCCAATCTAAAAAGCCCACAAAACGCGTTGCTCATTCATTGCAGGTCTCATCCGTCATCTGCCCCAACCGTCCGCATTTCCTCTTGCCGTATTCATGAAACGGAGTGCTGACATGGTTAAGAGAATATGTTGCGCTTTAGGATCTCTATTACCGAGACAGGCAGATACAGTTCAGAGTAAGCTACGAGGAAAGACCGGTGGTGGACAGCGTGAAACGACTGGCTGGAGTCCTTTCGTAAATTTGACAAAGGTGATGCGAGAGGGTAGCAAATGGAATGGGGTTTTACAGTGTTACAACTCCTGTTACCCAATTGGGTATTAATATTTTGCATTCGGCAGCGGTCGTGTAAAGTGTATGTCGTTCAAAAAAATGTAGCCCCCCCCCCTCCTCAGAACGGCCAGGTAGGGGTGGGGTGACCCCTCGATCGAGCGATCGCTCTGTCCGCCGGTTGGGTTGCCTACCTACCAGGCACTTCTGGCACAGTCGGTCAAAAACCGCCCTCCCTGCCTGCATGGTGTGTCATCACTCCTGCGTCAATAGAACCACCGTTTCCACCGTTCCGCTATGGTTTTGCTGTCCGCTGTTAGCCGTTATGGACGGGACGGCCAGTACGCGGGCCTCACTCGGCGCGGGTTCACAGTTCGATGCGACTCTCATGCGCCGTTCCTGATAACCCTGATAAGACACCCATCACGCCCGACTACTACGATCACTACGACCAGTAGTCCTCCTCCCCCCCCCCCCCCCACTGCCCACTGCACGGCAACCAATTACTATCACGGGCCGCAATAGTTTACTACACCGATTACGCCACGTGATATGAGGCGGGGCCACACGATCGGGGCGGCGAGTCTGGAAATGATCGAACGGCCATGGCTCCCCTCACTGCCCCTCGAGAACCTGGTAAAACACGGGCGGATTATTTCCTCAGCAAAGTTCCATCGGATAGAGAGAGCACAGTGGCCTGTAACGTGAAGGGGGACAACAAAACTGTTCGACACTGCCTGCCTTTCCTGTCATGAATAACTGGGATTTCTTTTTAGACAAGTCCCCAAAACTATCTCTACCAAAAGCCCCCCCCCCCCCTTTTCCACGCCACTGCTGCACTCAGATCGGCTTCGACTAGTCGCCAAGGGCCACTAGCCAAGCCGGCTCGCATCCCTGCATACGATGTAGTACAACCGGGAGAAAGAACGGGGCTAAAGGATCCGGTATTTTCTCATTTTTGGCGGTTCATATCTGTCATTATTAGTGGGCATTGACTCAACTCCCACGCTATGACAGGGGCGGATTCAGGTCCGGTTGACAGGGGAGGGGGGGGGGTGCACTGACAGTTGCCTACATACAGGGGTTCTGTGGCGCAAATTCCTACCTTTCAGGTGTCTCTCTAGAGACGACGAGGGGGCCTTGGTAAGCTTGAGGACCCCAAAATCAAAACACGAACCCTAACACCGACACTTCATCAACACTCAACCACTTACTTTTTCACCCGTTATCTAATATAAGCAAATACTGTAAGGCCTACGGGGAACAGCATACCTATGTAAAATCCAAATGTAACTCAACTCGACTTCAATAAAACCGTTTTAAAAACTGGAAAAAAAAACTGAGGGGGAGACCCCGTCGTTATCATCAGAAATAGTATGTTCAGCTTAGTCAAAATGACATTCTATTTATTTCGTGAAACATTGACCACTGGTCTTAACCAATGCCTTGACATCAGGAGGTGCGTAGGTGGTCATTGCGCAGCTCATCATGGCTGTATTGCCATAGTATCTCGTTTGGCCGCATTCTTTAAGGTAGCCTAGGAGAGCGTCGGGAACTCCGGCTTTCTTGAGGCAGTTGATAGTCGGGCTCACAAAGTCCTTGGCCTTTTTGAAGAGCTTCTTTGCGCTCTTGACAAGATTGAACGGCCTAGGATCAGCAGCTGCAAAGGACGCCTGTGAAAAAACACCCAAGTTACGTTTGGCAGCCAGATGAAGCAAGATGTTTCAAGTACTCGACAGTTAAACACTCCGTACCAACGCCAACACGACCACGCAGAGGAGGGTCAGAGTGTATTTGCTTGCCATGGTGATGGTTGAGCTTCGACATGTCTCTGGTGCCGCGGAAGGTCCTCTTTTGTATACGCTGCTGCTGCGCAAAAGGCGAGACAATTCGTGCCATGTGCTTAATGTCTATGTCTTTATGGCATCACGATGTCCCGTCAGTTGTCGTTTACTGATGCCCTTTTCTGGGGCATTAAACACATTTCCAGTAAAGGGGGCACTAAACAGTCCAAAAGGTGCTAAATATGAGTGCCTTTGGCAGTTTTAGTGTCTTTTTAAAAGCCACTAAACTCTTAGTGCCTTTTAACACGTTGAGTCCCACATGACCACACGGTCAAAAAAGCATGCAAAAGAGGACCCCCAGAACCAAGTCATTTTTTGTCCGAGCATCAAACTCTACAAGTCCCCGGTCGTTGACAACCATAACTCCCCCGTTGTAGGTATCGGATTTTTGATTCCTGCTATCAAATTTTTCCGATCAAACTACACTGTTATTCAAATAATGTGACCACATTCGATATAATGATTTTTCAAAAAAACATGACACAATCTGCATAATATACAGGGTGGTCCACAGACCTCTTCCTTTATTTTGCTTATACTGTACCGGACGCAACCGTACGGCCGGGTTGCATACTCTTACGGGGCCATAAGGCGCAACGGCGAGCTAGAGTAGGCAAGCCCGTCCGCACGCCTGCATGCGGTACAGTATAAGCAGAATAAAAGAAGGGGTCTGTGGACCACCCTGTAGAATGTGACGTGACAGTATTTGAATAACAGTGTAACAGAGTTGATCCCCACAACAAAGTCTTTTTTTCCTGTGTGCGTCAGCTTGCCAACTGTCAGACGGAGCAGTGCAAGCGGGCCTTCCGGGGCCTTCTGACCGTCATATGTCGTGCGCATGTGGCCCGAGCCCTGCAACAACGGTCGATAGGTCGAACCTGTCCCCTAAAGTCGGCCCGACAACGCTCAGGGCCGTCGGTACGACCCTCTAACCCCATGCGGTTCGTCGGGCCGGAAGGCAAAATCTTGTCGGACTGTCGGACCGTCTCTCAGCCCGGCCAGGGGCCAGGTAGAATCCTATAGGACTCTAGGGCCAGGGAGGGTCCGGCAAGATCGAGAACGGGTGAGGGGGGAGGACGGGTATAGGTGCCGGCGAGGGGGCAATAACTCAGGGAATCGTGTGTGCACCTGCCTGGGAATCATCAGGATTAAAATTAATCGAAATCACTTAAACTGAGCGTAAAACTAGTGGAACTGATACAACCTAGTCGAAATTATAAGCGTTTTCTTCTACTAGAAATGACTTTAAGTCGACGGGAATAACTGGGAATCAAGTATTTCGGGAATCATGTGTACAAATCAAAAGGAAGTTATCGCCCCCTCGGGTGCCGGGCTACTTACCGTGTGTGGTGGGGCACGCATCAAGTTACGTCTTTTCAATCCAGCGATAGAGTTGGGATTTTTCCTGCCATATCGTGTCCGTCCACTAGCCCGGTCCCAATCGTGCTCGATATCTCGATATCTCTAGGAACTGCGCAACGATAGAGCCATCCAACGGAGTAGTGAGAAGAGTCAACAAGAAGTGTTGAGATAGTGCTTCGCACGCGGAAGAGACGGCACGGCACCGCCGTTGTGCACACACGATAGGGAGGCTTGCACCTTCCCGATGACCGGCCACCCCCACAGAGGACATGGGGAAGTTGCGCGGAAACTTAATAGAATCGCGTGAAAATCAATATCACGGAAAAAATGATTTAGTTTCTGTATTCGAAAATCGACCATAAAATGACAACTGATAAATTGCCATGGCAACGAATTAGAATTAATATTGGCCGTAGAGACAAACGTGTCAGGCAAGGAAGCAAGACTGCTCGGCGCCCTTCCGGAGGAGGTCCTTCCCTGCCCTCAGCATCAGGAAGGGGGTTGTAGGCAGGTCAGTGTTCCGGTGGGTGGCGAGGCGAGGCGGCGCGGTCTGGGTGGGGTGGTGCAGGCGGAGCGGGGTGGGTGGGAGGGGGCGCGGGGAGCGGGTGACGGTGCGTATGAATGGCTGCGTGCCTGCGCCCTAATCCAGCCGCTCTGTAACGCCCTGCCCACGACGGAGGGAGGGAGGGGGTGGGGAGCATTTGCCACGACACTGCCACGACGACGACGACGACGCGATTCCCCGAAGTGGGGCAAACGTCAATGAGGATGGCCCGGGGATTATAGGGTGGCAAGGAATTCTCCGTCACCCTGCTCAAAATAGCCGTCGTCGTGCGCGCGTTGTGATTGGTTGACTCATGGGTGGCGCACAGGCCCCTGACCGAGACAACGACACAGGTGCGCGAAGTGCCACAATCGTAATTTATTTGGCACTCGTTTTCTTTCGCGGGTTGTGGCTGAAGGCGAGCATCGCGCTGCTCACCCCTGCGCAGCGGGTCGCCTACCCCACCAGTCCGCGGGCGCACC